GTGTGTTTTGATGGTAGGCAGGTTAAGTTTTTGAATGGGCCATGTCGGTCCACGTTTTCGTATAGCCCCATATAACGATACCTCCCGATATTCGGTATTTTTATTTTAGCGGCATTATTCATTGGAATAGTTTCAAATTTCGTATTTGGAAAATATGACAGAAAACTGCCTATGTATGTCCACGTCTTCGTATAGCCCACATTTAACGGTTCCTCCCGGTTTTAGACCCTAGGTCTCTTTGGATCAAATCCGTTTCTGGATATATGGAGTTTGGGGATGGGCAATATCTGCCCACTCATTCTGGTACCCCCCCTCACAAATTTTCAAAATTTTCCAAAAAAAAAAAAAAATAAATAAATAAATAATAATAATAATAATAATAATAATAATAATAATAATAATAATAATAATAATAATAATCATAATAATAATAATAATAATAATAATAATAATAATAATAATAATAATAATAATAATAATAATAATAATAATAATAATAATAATAATAATAATAATAATAATAATAATAATAATAATAATAATAATAATAATAATAATAATAATAATAATAATAATAATAATAATAATAATAATAATAATAATAATAATAATAATAATAATAATAAAATAAATTTGCGGTACAGAAAGAAAAAGAATAATCCGATTTTGATCCAACTTTGCAAATTCTAATTTTTGCATCAGTGCTAGACAGGCGAAAATGGATAATATCGGTGAACTCTATCAAGTACCTCCCACAAAAAAGTTTGAATAATTATAAATCTACTAAAATGTGTCGTAAGAGTCCGATTACACACATCACAAAATTGTTATTAACAAAATTTTTATTAACCCAAGGTCTGTTGTGAGGATGGAAAATACCGGCCTGGTGCCTTCCACACAAAGGGTCAAAATATTGAATATCCATGAAGTTCATGATACGTTCTTTTCATATTTTACACATCCCATTATTTTTACTACAACAAGATCTGCTGTCAAAATTAAATATATGGGACCACTTCTTCTGATACCTCCCCCACATAGGGATCAAAATTTGTAATAACTACGAAGGTCATAAAACTCGAAATGAGCATCCGATTATTTTCGAACTTGACATATCCCAATATTTTCACTAACACAATACTTGGTGTGAAGATGAAAGATATCTTCCCCACAGAGGGTGTTAATTTTCAATACTTATATCTCTTATAATTTGCGAAACAAGTTAGCGATTCTTTTAAAACTTGGTAACCTGCGATCTAATGTGAATATAGATGTCATCGGCTCACTCCTCCTGGTACCTCTCCCACAAAAGTTTTTATTTTTATTTGCAAAAACTTGGAAATAAATGTTTGATGCTCAATCCAAAAATGTTCTTAAATTTAAGATTAAGTAGAATACTTCGGTCCACTATATCTGGTACCTCATGCACATTTCTGGCACATTTATATCAGGTCAGTTTCGGTATAGACAACATTGGCTCACTCCTTTGGAACCACCACCACAAGTCAAAATATATTTAAATAAACGCACAGAGGCTGAGGGTATACATCTATCGGGTAAACCAACAGATATTTTTAACTTGCTTACGTTTAAAACAGCATTTGCCAATCCAAAGCAGGTGAAATGGAATTATTTTTTATGATTCAAGATGTTAGTTTAACCTTAAAAATACGCCAAATTTGGAGCTACCTTTATAAGGGAGGTATACCAAGGAGTGAATATAAAATACACGTGTATCCGCGTTTTGAAAAGTGCCTCTCTTTTTCATATATATTTTTTTAAACCCATCCTTTGACAGTTTCTTCACTTACATGAAAATATGTCTGTAAATGCCGAAATTCCAGTACTCGGAAGGATTCAATATTCCTAATAAGACGCCTCACTCGAATCCAAAATTTCAAAAAGAATGTACTAAAGTTGGCTACAATCATCAATTTTCCGAGTATCGGTGGGCTATTGAAATATCTTGAATTATATAGAAATTGCTTAATACAAGCAGAATACACCATGCCGGAATCCAAATGCTGAATCTAACGTAATTCCCTTAGAAAATGTGGCTAGAATCGCCAAAATACCGAATATCGGGAAGTATGTGGACTTATATAGACAATATTGTGTCACATAAGTTAGAAACCGTTATAAACTCAAAATACTGAATTAAAAAATATCCTTTTAGATATTGTGGCTAAAATCTTCAAAATTCCGAATATCGGGAGGTAAAATTATATTGAGAGAGAAATTGGTCTTGTATAGACAATCAGGCATGTCACAGAATGTAAAATCGTTCAAGAGTGAAAACGAAAACGGTTTTAGCTTCTCTAAAAAACGGAAAACGCAAAAATTTTGCGTTTTGATATCACTTTCAAAAAGCAGGGTGAAATTGAAATGTTTAGTGATTTTAACGTAAAAAATAAACAGAAGACACATACATTTAACAGAAAATATTGTATTAACCAAATTCTCTTAGAATGAACATGTTTTTGGAATTTATTTTACAAAAAATCTATTATTTTTCTAATCCATGATGAAAACGCAAAAAAATATGCAGAAATGAACGGCAGACTTGTATTGTTGAATTATTGCCACATGTGTTGAAGAAGAAGGTGAAAAACAAAAAAACAATTAATTGTTTGGTTTGAGACAGAGCGCTTCAGTCAATCGAGCAAAAGTACAATTTCGACTTTCTTTTTTCTTCGGAAGACATTCTTAATTTGATCCAATGTGGACAAATTTCAGCTTCAATTGCATTAATAACTCTCCACATAATTGTAGAAACTGTACTTCTCCCAAGGCTTAGCTCCACATCTCTACCTATAACTCCTTGAAATGCACCCGTAGCCAAAAACCTTCTTTATTTAGCCGATAATAAGTTATAAATCTGTAGAAATAAATTATTATTAAAATAAATTTGAAAATAACTCATTGCTGGTGGATCCTTACTCTGCATTTGAGTGAGATAAAGGATCTGATGCGTTCCTCAATGTCCGGCGACGAATTTTTTCAGTAGACCGCTGATTTTTTTCTTCATCCATTACAGCAAGTATTTACTTTTGGTGTTTATATTATAAAAAACAATTTAAACTCCTTTTTTAATTGTCAATAATTTGTTTACGACTTTTTTTTTCATGGAGTTACCATATTTTTATTTCAAAAATGTGAAATGATTTTTTTTTCCGGATTATTCAAAACGTACGAGTGCTGAAGAAGCAAAAGCAAATCGTAACGATTTGGAAAAGGTGGAATAAATCGATTTCGTAAAACTTCTGTGACATGCCTGAATGTTCTGAAGAAGATCTATGAGCTATAAATGCCAAACTTTAAGCTATTCCGCTAGAAACTGAGACTAAACAATGAACCGAATATGGGGGCTATAGGAAAACATGAACCTAATTGGCAATTTTCTGCCACAGCAGCTAGAATATATTATAAACTATAAATACGAAATTTTAAACCTTTCCGTTAGAGAGTGTGGCCAAAATCGCAAAATATCGAATATCGGGTAGTATCTTTAAATGGGGGCTATAGACAAAGGTGTACACATACAATATATATAATATAGGCAATGTTGTGCCACATGAGGAAGAACCCATTGCAAACTCTTAATAATAAATTTTAAACTATTCCGAATATTGGGATAGAGGCTATACGAAAAAGTGGATCTATGTAGACAAAATTCTGCCACAGGCCGTAGAACCCGCTAGAGAGTGTGTCTAAAACCGGCGGAATATCAAATATGGGGAGGTACCTTTATATGGGGGCCGATACGGCTCATATTCTTGCCTGTAGACAAAATACAACTTTGTGCAAAATTTTAGCTTCCTATCATATGCCGTTTGGACACAAGCGTGATTACCTCAGATGGATGGACGGACATTGCAAAATCGACTTAGAATTTTACGCTGATAAAGAATGGAACAGTATTGACACGTTTTTTTTTTGTTTATCAAAAATATATACACTTTGTTGGGTCTAAACTGATTATTCGGAATGACAAACTTAATACACCCTCCATACTATGTATGTGGTGGGCATAAAAACAGACACATGATTTTCTCTTGTAGAATCTAAATTTCGAAATACAATTGTACCTAGATACATGGTTTATTCTGTATACACTGGAAGTAGATATTTCTTTTCTTTGGTAACTTATAGTGAAATTAAATATTTTTGGCCTTTGATGTCATCCTTCTAAAATTACGATTTGTTGGAGATTGTTGCACAAACTCACACAAGGCACGACCTTAACCCTAAAATGTGTTTTTAATATATATTAATTCCTGGTGTTTAGGTAGAACTTAGTAGACTTGATGATCTATAGTAGACAAATAATTTTGTGAAATACTTTGACTTGCTATTACCTATTTAAAGGAAGCTTTTAACCATATTTACAATAATGGACCAAAAATACCCTTTAGGTGACTCGCTAGGGTTAACATTTTCAAAAAAAAAAAAATAATAATAATAATAATTTTCAATAATAATTATTTGCAATTGTTTGCGTTTCTTCACTAAATTGATACATACACATATTTTGTTGATATAGATACTCTAAATACAGATTTTGTATTTCAGGTGAAATATAACGTAAAATGTATTTGTCTTCTTTTCTGAAATGATGTTTTACGTAGCTATTTTCCATAAATTCAATAATAATAAAGAAATAATGAATTATTTCTTGAACAAGGAAAGCGGGCTTACTATTCCCTTAATTTTACTTTACGACGGGCCAAACTTGTCACTAAAAATCAATTTTGGACGCATAATTCGTTGGGCGCCACTTACAAATTATCCGTTTGTCAGAAACCAATCAACAGCAATATTATTAATGCAATATAAAATTTCGAAAATAATCATAACGAGTTAGCCAAAATGGTATAAATTTATATCAAAATCCAGAATTCGTCGACGTAACTTTTAAATAATGAATATTTAAAGAACCATGCCAATGTGCTAACATGCAAATAAGATTAATAACTTGCAAGTCTAAGATTGATACATACCACGATTCCCAGGGGAAATAGGATTTTCTTAGAGCATTCCTGAATATTTTTCACATTCCTTCAAATTCCATCATTGATGTAAGCAACACCTTTTCGAGCCAATAACAATAATAACGACAACACATCGCACACACACACACACATCCATATGTGTTGATCTATTTAGAGGCTATTTAACATAAACATGTTAACTAACAATTCATGTCCCTGGTCTGCGGAAAGATGTTTTCGTTCGGCGATTTGTCTAAATTAATGTCTATTAATGCGGAAGAATTATGAACTGAAAAAAGTAGGGGTTTTTTTATTATTATTACAAAAAAATCGTTCAAAATAAGATGGAAACAACAACAACAGCAACAACCTACCTAAAACAGCCAGCCAATTCTAAAAAGCAAATTAACTCAATGTAAATAGATTCTGTAACAAATTGTATCTATTCACAGACACGTTCGATTGTTCTTCCTGGAGATTGCAATCACCTCGGGTTTTGTTTATTTGCATTTTTCAACGATGCGCTAATATTCTCGAGCAATTGAAATAAAATTTATATCGCAGTTTCACAATATGTGGCAAAAATCAAATCACACGATTTAGTCATCTTGAGAATGTTTGAAAATTTACAAATATTTTGAAATTTTTATTCGAAATTAAGTTTGTTTTGAAAATTTAAGTTTTTCACAGCCAACCTGGAATATAAGCTTACTTTGCTTGAATAATTCAGAAAGTGTGTAGGTTTTTAGTTTTTTCTTTTTTTAAGATTTAAAGAAATCACCGAGGTGGATCAGAAGGCCCACCTGGCTACTAAGTTTGCTGGAAAAATATATAAATGTAATTTGAATTGCAAATCACAATGTTGAAAGGTCTACTAAGTTTATTGTTAAGTTGTTGTCAAAAATCGTCTTTTTGACCGAACTTTTAGCTTGGAAACGATCTAGACCAAGGAATGAGTTGATTGCAAATCGACTACCTCATTTTAAATTCCAATCATCCTAGAAGCAAGGCAAAATAATAATACTTGCGGGCGGGGCCGACTTTATGATACCCTACACCACTTTGCTTATTTCAATAGAGCTCCACATGACCATTAAAAGTTTTTATGGGAGAATTCAATCATACACTCTATGATTATAATTATAATTTAAAGTTCAATGGACTAAATATGCCGAAGCATTTGTATCTTTTAAATTCGGACTTGTATTGCCCATTTTATACATATGGGAGCTATATCCAAATCTGAAGATATTTCTGAGCTGTATTTGATATATTTCTCTGAATATCGTTGTTACGGAGTGCATATTACGGCTGGGGGTAACAAATATAACAAATCGGATGAACAGTATATATGGGAGCTATAGCTATATCTGAACCGATCTTCACCAAATTTGGCATACTAGCTTCTAGACTCAATTCGTCGTATGTACCAAATTTCATCACATTAGGACAATTATTAGACGTTTGGTGCACAATAAAAAGTAAATCGGACGAAGTTATATATGGGAGTTATATCCAAATCTGAACCGATCTCGATAAAATTTAGCAAATGTATATCTGAGCTGTATTTTATATATTTCCCCAAATATTGTTGTTATAGAGTGCATATTACGGCTGTGGAGGACAAAAATAACAAATCGGATGAACAATATATGTGGGATCTATAGCTATATCTGAACCGTTTTCGATCAAATTTGGCGTGCTTATTTTCAGGATTAATTTAGTTGAAGGTGCAAAATTCCATACTATTCTGGCTAATATTACACGTTTCGTGCACAATAAAAGGCAAATTGTACGAAGATATATATGGGAGCTATATCTAAATTCGTCCTTGGGCCAAACAAATGATTTGTGCAAAATTTCATCTGGATAGGGCAATAAATGCGAACTGTACTTTGTTTACAAAAATACATGGACAGACGGACAGACATACGGACGGACATGCATAAATCGACTCAGAGTGCGATTCTATGCAGATCATCAAAAGAAACTATGGGTCTACCTCGTCTCCTTTTGCCTGTTACAAACAAATGTACAAAGACATAATACCCTGACCACCTTGTAGTGTAGGGTATAAAAATCTATTATTTTATAGAAATTAAAGGGAGTATACGATTTGATTGAAATATTGCACATACCAGGTGAGATTAAAAAACTGCAATCAACTTCAGACTGCTGCCATTTCTAAGACACTCGTCCGACAGCTGTTAAAATTGTTCCAGTGACAGCTCATTATATTGTTTACAAGCGTACAAAAGCAATTTGGTGAGAATTTCCCAGAAAAAAAGTTATTCGTGATGGAATTCAAGCGTGATAGTGTGATTTCTTTATATTTGGCTGGAAAACCACAAGTGGCTATCGTTAGAGTACTCCAGCATTTAAATGTGAATAAATCTTTTGTGTCTCGTATCATCGCTCGTTATCGTGATACCGGTAGCGTAGCCCGATGTCAAGTAAGTGGACGGAAAAAAACAGGAACATCAGCAGAAATGGTTCGAAAATTAAAGAAGTGACTTGATCGAAACCTGCATCCAGTGACCGAAAAATGGCTCTTGAGCTGAAAATATCGCAATATTCCATTCGGCAAATATTTAAAAATGAGGGTAAAGCCATTGATATTCCAAAAATTGCAAGAACTTACACCGCAACAGAAAGAAACTACATGAAAAAGAGCTAAAGAGTTGCTTCGCTTGGCCGAAAGTTGTGAACTGCCGAATTTGGTTTTCTTCGATGATTCGACATTCGTTGTCCAGCAGTTTGTAAACAAACAAAATGATCGTGTTTACTTGCCAAAGAGGTCAGCTGACTATATAATACCCTACACCACTACGCATAATTAGTAGAGCTCCCGTAACAAAATAATTTATTTGAAGTAGATCATACCACCTATTAATATAAGGCTTTAGAGCAGTTATAGTTTGGTTTCAGCGGGAACAAATATGTGGGAGGCATATTTAATTATGAATCGATTTTAATTAAACTTGAAGGAGACATTTCTATCTTTAATATTACACTACATTGCTGCATGATATTACTTCGAGAAGGATAATATAAAAAAAATATGTATCGGACCTGAGTTCCACCAAATGGAAACATACGTCCCAAAATACACTCCATTTGGCCTGATATTAGCCATTATATGCAAAATAAACCTGAAATCGGATTAAGAATATATATGGGAGCTTGGATATATCTTAGCCGATCTCGATAAAATTTAACAAATGTATTTTCGAGCTCCATAAGATATCTGGTAGCAAATGTTATTGTTCTCGAATGCATATAAGGAATGTGAGAAAATTAAAGACCAAATCGGATGAAATATATATGGGAGCTATGGCTATATCTGAACCAATTTTCTCCAAATTTGGTGTACTTGCTTCTAGACTGAGTTCGGTCGGATGACCAAAATTCAGATGACCAAAATTCAGGTCATTTGAACTGATATTGGCCATTTGGTGCATAATTAACCCTCAATCGGTTGAAGATATATATGGGAGCTATATCTAAATTTAAACCGATTCTCACAAATTTCAATAGGGTTCTTCATTGGGCAAAACAAATATTGTTTGGAAAACTTCATCTCAATCAGATAATAAATGCGATTTGCATTTTGTTCACAAAGATACATGGACGGACGGACAGGCAGACTGACATGTAGAATTCGACTCAGAAAGTGATTCTATGAAGATCGTCAAAAGTAACTATGGGTCTATCCCGCTTCCTTCTCCATACATAAAGGTTCCCTTGGTATTTTTAACACCCCAGGAGCTATTTGAAAATAATGACAACTTTTTAACCCAAGTGACGAGATCGTAAGCTCAATGGAAAAGGGACCAAAAAATTTAATTGAACTAAAATTCTATTGGACTGGGGCATGTAGAAACATTCCCCCATTTTTCTTTTTGCCCTATGTTTTGACATGCAATACAAAACCAAGAAAATTCAATTGCCACACTTTCGCATTCACTTCTCATTGTAAATCATTTCAAATATTTTGTCAACATAAAACTCAGTCACCGTCCTTTTGTTTTCATTTTTCGAAAATAAAGACATTTATTTCTCAAAATAATTATTTCCAAGTTTAGCAATCAAATTCTCACTTTTCAACCGAATGGGAATAAGTCACGTCAAATGAAAACAATCCGGACACAAGAATAACATTCAAAACTTCTGGTCACGACATTCCGAAAAAGAACCAAACCAAGAGCCGTTTTGGATGGATGGAACAACACAACTTGGAACGAGACAACTGCATATCACACCTTTGGGAACACGCGCGCGGCAATTGTCCGCTCAAATGTAAATAAGAATTTTGACTTTATGTGGCGTCTCGCTGCATAATCTCGCCTAACAAAACGACATTTCCCATTCTGTTAACGACCAAAAGTCACGTCAGGTGGGTCATGTTGCATCTACTCCGTTTGACTTGGTGGTGGTGGTGGCGATGGCGGTTGTAGCAGCCATCTTCAGGCCATGCATTTGAATAAACAACTACAACAACAAAAGCAACGACGATGGTAGTGCGTTGCTCAAACCTCAATTGGAGTACAAAGTCAGAGTCTTTTGACTTTTGCGACATGTTATGAAATGACCAGCGTTGATTGGTATTTGCTCGCTTCTTATCAGCATGGAACGTGTATGCGGTGAGCAGGTGAGTGAGTGAATGGCTTTTGGTTTTTTTTTTTGTGAAACTCGGCTGAAATAACGCTGTGTCTACATTTTGTTTATTTTGATATTAACCGTTTTGTTCTTTTCCATTGTACGAGAGGGTGTCCGTGGGTGTGTGTGTGTGCACCTAGTAGCATTTTTTTCTTTATATCAGCGTGAATGAAGTACTGACTGACTAGCTGACTGACAATCACATGTGTACGCGATCGCTGGCAGCAAAGCGTTCTAATCGCCACCCCTCACGCATGCATTGAATCACAAGACTACTTTACTAGTGCCGCCGGTAAATTTCATTCATTTATTTGATTTTATTTATTTTTGTATTTTCTTTTTAATTTTTTATCAATCTTATATCAGAGGGTTTAATATACTCGTCATGTTGAGAGTGCAGTAGTGGATAGCAATATACAACGTTTTATTTGGCTATTTAGGTATTTCAGCGTAATGGAAGTTTTTGAAAATATAACAATTGAAAGCAGCTTTATTTTCTAGCTCTTCGCAATATGCAAATTGGATACTAAAGTTAAATGTTGAAATTTAATATATTTTTATACCCTCCAAACTGCAATTGAGTACTCTCCATTTATCATTTTTGCAATACCCCTAAATATTCGCCGGACACCCCAAAAATGTTATATGTTCCTGACCAGAATAAATTTATAAGGCGATTAAGTGATGCCGTTTATCTGTATGTCTGTCCGTCCGTCTGTTTTTTGAAATAACGTTTATTAATCTAGAGCTTTGAAATTTGAAAAAGGATTATATTATATGCAGGCTGATTGGTATAGAAAATGGGCTATATTGGTCCACGTTTAGGTGTTTCCCCCATATAACGATACCTCCCGATTGACGGTATTTTGAAGGTTGCTGGCACAATTCCCTACCAAATCAGCTGTAACTTGACATTTGGGGTTCTGGAAAGGTCTGTTTTCTCCTTGCGATGATTAAGGTTCACTAATTGTTATATCTCCAATATTACTGTAACACCCACATTATTATAATTTGTAAACTTTTACTGTATTCTCC